CCACCACCAACACCACCACCATCACCACCACCACCACCACCACCGCCACCACCACCAACAACAACAACCCACCAGTATGTATAGGATGTCTGCCAGTAAGTAGAGCGCTCCGTGTGGGTGTACAGATGGGACTGACGTAGTAGTTGTTCAGAAGCACGCCGTTATACGCCAGGAAGTCAATGTTGGGCGTCGGGATCTGGTCAGACCCGTGGAAGCTGACGTCATTGTGACCCTGGAAGGTACAGCAAAGGACATTTTTTGTCACTGTTATTGTTAATGAAGGTACAACAGAGGGACATTGTTTGTCACTGTTATTGTTAATGAAAACTTGCAAACTTTGGATGTCCTTGGAAACTGCAAGCTTACACACTTAGACCACCGTTTTTCATAAATTTGTTTTCGAATAAGCATAAAAGGTATATTTAGAAAAAAAAATCGATAACATTTATCCAACAGGCGGGAAAAAGTTGGTTTCTTCGATTTCATTATAATATTGACGAGCGCCTGGTTGCACCACAACGCCTTATTGTTTATTAAATTCATCGTGCCTACAACTTGTTTAATTCTTCTTCCCACAACAGGTGGTGATCAGTAACCACAGGGATTAAGTTTTTGTGTATGTGTTCTTTGCCAGATTACGAGAGCGCAATAATAATACAACATATGTGAGGAGGCGTGGTGGAATCAGGCTCTCGTCAATTTTCAGACATGTAGAGTTATTGGTATCATCTTAGAGCCTGTTCACTTGTCTTTATTTGGATGAAAAAAATATCCATTTACGTTGAATACAAGTCAAGATATTTGCAAAAGAAGGAGGTGGGGGTCACCTGTTTTCGGAGGTATAATTAGTGAGAAAATGGCCTCCAAAGATTAGTTATATCCTTAGCTTAAGAGTCCGTGGTAACTGAAAATTTACATTTTATGTGCCTTTAATCAACGTTTTCCAGAAAAATCCACACAGGAATTAGTTCTTTAATGGGCATGAAAAGTGTTGAGCCAATAAACAAAAATTTGATAAAAATTCACAAACCTGCGGAAAAATGCAAGTTTCTTCATTTTGATTATTTTGACGAGAGCCTGATTCCACCACGCTGCCTCACATATGTTTCAGAAAGAATATAGTCGTGGGTTGAATGGGCCAACAACAGCTGGTGACCAGTAACTACATTGGTTAAGTTTTTGTGTATGTGTTCTTTGCCATAATAAAAATGAGAAGATGGAGATGGATACGGCATGTTCTGAGAAGAGAACCAGACTCTTTTGTAAAGACTGCCTTCCACAGGACACCCGAAGGACATCACAAGAGGGGCAGACGCAAAGTGACCTGGAGACGCACAGTAGAGTCTGAAATGAAGTCCTGGAACCATTCGTGGGGGACGTTGACCAAGATGTCCCAAAACAGACAGAGCTGGAGATCCACTGTTGCTGCCCTAAACGCCAGATGGCGTAACGGGTAATAAGTAAGTTCTTTGCCAGATTACGAGAGTGCAATAATAATAAAACAAATGTATTGGAAAGAATATCGTCGTGGGTTGAATGGGCCAGTATGCATGAAACGTTGGTTTCAATAATCTTTTTTTCATTGTGAAGAGCCTAGAGTCACCACGGAGTAGGTGCTATACAAGTGGTCTTGGTTATAAGTCATGTGTTATGGATCGAAGCATTCAGTGACCTCTTTACTAGAGGGTGCCCCCTACGTCACAACCCTGGAGACACTCACCACATTGCCACACATTTATCAAATTAAATACCATTGTGCCAACTTGTTTTATTCTTCTTCCCACAAAAGCTGGTGATCAGTAACCACAGTGATTAAATTTTTGTGTATGTGTTCTTTGCCAGATTACGAGAGTGCAAAAACAATTTTTTAAAATATGTATTGGAAATTATATATTTGTCGTGGGTTGAATGGGCCAGTGTGCATGAAACGTTGATTTCAATCTTATTTCATTGTGAAGAGCCTAGAGCCACTAGGGAGTGGGTGCTATAGAAGTGATCTTTATCATAAGTCCCCTGCTATAGAGGCATTCAGTGACCTCTTTACTAGAGCGTCCCCTTTATGTCACAACCCTGAAGCCACTCACCACATTGCCACATATTTATTAAATCCCATCGTGCCAAGTAGTTTTATTCTTCTTTCAACAATGTGTGTGACCAGTGTCCACATTGATTGTCGTTTCGTCTATGCGTTCTTTCTCAGATAACGGGTGCATAATAAAAATATGTACATGTAGTTGAAAGAATTGTCGAACGTTGAATGGGCCAGTGTGCATGAAACGTTGATTTCAATCTTATTTCATTGTGAAGAGCCTAGAGCCAGAAGGGAGTAGGCGCTATAGAAGTGATCTTTATCATAAGTACCCGGCTATAGAGGCATTCAGTGATCTCTTTACTAGCCCCCCCCCCCTCTATGTCACAGCTCAGGAGCCACTTACCAGGTCGTCTGCGACAATGAGGATGATGTGAGGCCGGTCAGCGGCCAGAGCAGACGGGACTGGACACAGCAGAGCACAGACCAGGCTCAGAGTGACCAGCGCACGGATCACGTGACTCACGTCTCCCATGTTGGCCAATCACAGTGTGTGTGTGTGTGTGTGTGTGTGTGTGTGTGTGTGTGTGTGTTTGTGTGTGTGTGTGTGCGTGCGTCCGGCCTCAGGACTTGACACAATTTTCTTCCTTATCTGGCAAGAGAGAAGAGGAGGAGTTGTAAGACAACAGAGGGAGAAGGACGAGGGGAGTTGATGCGGAGGGAGGGAGTGTGGCAGGGAAGATTGGGTGATGAGGTGGGGAGTGAATGGGGAGTGAGTGGGGAGTGATGGGGGTGAATGGGGAGTGAGGGGGGTGAATGGGGAGTGAGTGGGGAGTGAATGGGGAGTGAGTGGGGAGGGAGTGGGGAGGGAGTGGGGAGGTGGAGAATGAAGGAGGAGGGAGTGGAGATGTGGGGAATGAATTGGGAGGGAAAAGAGATGTTGGGAATTAATAGGGAGTGAGTGGGGAGGTGGGGAATGAATGGGGAGGGAGTAGAGATGTGGAGAATGAATGAGGAGGGAGTGGGGATGTGGGAAATGAATGGGGAGGGAGTGGAGATGTGGGGAATGAATAGGGAGGGAGTGGAGATTCGGGGAATGAATGGGGAAGGAGTGGAGATGTGGGGAATGAATGGGGAGGGAGTGGAGAGGTGGGGAATGAATAGGGAGGGAGTGGAGATGTGGGGAATGAATGGGGAGGGAGTGGAGATGTGGGGAATGAATGGGGAGGGAGTGGAGATGTGGGGAATGAATGGGGAGGGAATGGAGATGTGGGGAATGAATGGGGAGGGAGTGGAGATGTGGAGAATGAATGGGGAGGGAGTAGGGAGAGATGAAGAGGAGAGTGGCAGGCGAGGGGGGGGGGGGGGCGAGGGGAAGAAGAAAAGAGGAAGGAGGTGAGGATTAAGAAGGGAGGTGAAGGTGAAGGTGAATGTGAGGGTGGAGATGGAGGTAAAGACGAAGTTGGAGGTGAAGATGATGGTGAAAGTGAAGATGGAAGTGGAAGTGGAGGAGGGGGTGAAGCTGAAGATGGAGGCGAAGGTGAATGTGAAGATGGAGGTGATGGTAAAGGTGAAGGGAAAGGTGAACATGAAGGCGGAGAGGCGAAGAGGCGAAGAGGCAAAATGTGAAGACGAAGATGAGGGGCGAGGTGAAGGTGAAAGTTCAGGTGAAGGTGAAAGTTCAGGTGAAGGTGGAAGTGAAGGTAAAGGTGAAAGTGGAGGTGAGGGTGAAGGTGAAGTGAAGATGGAGGTGAAGGTAAATGTGAAGGTGAAGATAAAGGTGAAAGTTCAGGTGAAGGTAAATATGAAGGTGACGGTAAAGGTGAACATGAAGATGAAAATGAAGATGAAGGTGAAGTAGTCATATTTTTAGATATCCATTGGCAGGATCGGGTCATTCAATAGCAGCTTCAGTGTACACTACTGCCCGCCTCGCTTCTTCAAATTTGATCCAAAATTAGGAGTACTTAAAGCAAAGAAAACAAAATTTTGCCATCTCGATCGGGACCATGTAACTTGGTGCAGATAATAATAATAATAATAATAATAATAATAATAATAATAATAATAATAATAATAATATAGCCGATACAGCGTTGCGCTGGGTAATGAACAAAACTTACCGTTCACAACACAGCTAGTTCCTTGAACAATATTTTATTGCTTCAAATGCCGACTGTTACATAAATATGGTGGTTGCTAGTTGCTATGTTAAGAGGTTTTTTTATGCCCCAAAGACTTAAAAAAGACAATTTCGATAGCTACCTGTCAGTGTCAGCCTCTCCAAATTCCCATCGTCCGTTATCGCTTTCCACCATGTAGACAATATCATGTCTCACCCTGACCATGTGAATTATAGGCTTAGGCTAAAAAGCCTTGTGATTGGCAGTCTCTCGAACCCGACAATTAATTCGATGCGTACGACTCGTGACCTTGAAAAATTGATTTGAAGGTCAACATCGAATGTAGTTGAATTTGGTAGAATTGTGCCAAAACGATAGTTTTTGTCCCCCAATGAAGGAAAATGATTGGCCCCGGTCGAATTAATAAATGAATTGGACTGCCATTGTATATTGGGTCTTCGTTTATAACCAGGTTCCAGCAAATTGGACAAAACATGTAAGTCTGGAAGAAGACAAATCATTCAGATCTGCACGCTTTATTCACATTTGTTGGATTCGGGTAATACGGTAAGGGTTAAGGTAAGGGCTTGGGTTTGGTAGGGTAGGATTTTCGTTACCCTAACCCTAACCTTTACAGTATCTTATCAAGCAGCCTTACCCAAATCAGACCATCACTTCATTACATTAACCCAAACTCTAACACTTACCTTAGAACTATTACCCGAAACCAGCCGAATTCTCGCCTCAAAAGTGGCTAGTTAAAATCAATGTCTGGATGAATCTAGATCTATTATGTTAAAATCAGCAGACGTTGCAAAACAGGAGGCTGAGCTTTATCAGGCTTCATGAAATATTCACTTTCACATTCTACTGACGCCAGCCCTTGTGTAAAGTAGATCTATGCAGAGTGTTGAGTGACATTACATATTAATTCTTCTTATTTAAACCTGTCGTAATCAGCACTACATTTCACGTGATTTGTTTTGTGTTTTAGAAGTTACATTCACTATTTTTATGAACTGTGAACGGAGACGAAGGTTATCATTCAGGACGTTGGCACATTAGTGCATGCGTTCGTTGGACTATATTATATTATTAAAATTTGGGTTTCTTTTTTTTTTTTTTTTTTTTTTTT